AGGCAGTTAGGGTAAAAAGACCCCAAAGAAAAGTAGACAGTTTCTTGCTGAAAGTCAAAATGTCCTTGGGCCTCTTAGCAACATACTCTGTTCCAAAGGCCAAAAATGTCAAAAGTATTTTGGAGCTTGTATCTAATCCTTAAAAGATTTTAGGGTTACCTCTTCAGAGGGGGGAATGTTAGAGTAGCTAAAAACCCCATAAAAATAAATAAAAAAGAAAGAAGTGATGGGGCGATATGGGAGGTGTTGGAGGGGAGGGAGTGGGCATGGATTTGATCAAAACACCTTATATGCATGTATGAAATTCTCAACAAAGGTTATGTAAAAGTTTTTAAAAAATTGTTGTGTGTTACTAATTTCATAAATTAGATGTAAGTATTATCCTCCACTGACAAAAGCAATCCATACCTTAAATCCAGGGGCCTATTAAGTGCCTGGCACTAGTAATACAGTTATGATCTCAACAACAGTTTTGCTCTTAGAGTTTACTGGTAACAGAAATGGGTAAATATAACGTGGCTGATTTTTTAAACATTCATTTATTTATTTTGTGTGTGCATATGTGTACATGCCATGGCAAACATGTAGAGCTCATAATACAGTAACCTGAAGCAGAAAGTTCTCTCCTTCCACTATGTGGGTCCCAGGGATAGAACTCAGGTTGTCAGGCTTATCAGCAAACATCCGTATCTGCTGAACCAACTTGCAAGCCATTTGGGTGATGCTTTTATAACGAGATATACAAATAACAGAACAGTCTATCTAATTCCAACTGAAATAATCAGAAATGGCATCAAAGAGGCAATAACCCTGATTGCCCACTACACCGAGATGCTGAATACACAGCATAATTCAGTTGCAGGACATAAAGAAATCTAGGAATTAACCTGGACTCTCTTCCTCCCTGCTGGCTAGCTTTCATAGCGCTAGAGGGTGCTATGCAAGCCACTAGGGGAGAAAAGTTATCAATGGACTTAACCCTAACAGACCATGCATGCTATAATGCTGACCTTCCACACAAGATACACCCACTGGCACAACAGTGGCATGACTCTTTTGGGAGTAACTAACCATTTTCTGCTTGGATTTGAAGGAATTCATGCCTGGTAAGGTCATGGGCCCTAGAGGGGAACCCATTACTATTGTTTTGCTAAATGAACCTGCTTTCTATTTATGTTTATACCCATAGATCTGTTCTGCTCTCAGGCTTGGTCAGAGAAGATTCTTTTTCACAGTGGGCAGTAGTAAATGCAGACTTATACTGGTCAAAGTGCTGAGAATAAGTGACTGTTGAGTGCTCACCCTAAATGGGACATTATAGCAACTCTCCTGCCCACAAGGCTCAGGGAGCATCAAGGAAAAGGAGATGGAAAGAATCCAAGGGGAAAAAGGAAGTGCTTTGAAATGCTGTCGTGGTAACGTGACATTGCCACTAAATTCATAGAACATGGCAGCTATGGTGACTTGCACAAGTTAGACAACATTCCAGCATAGACAGGAAAGGAGCTCATGAGACTCTACTCCCTAGCTGAGGAGGTACTGTTAGCTGATGGCTGCTGGGGGAAGGAGAGTCATTTTTAGGGGGTGGGTGGCCAGTGGTAGGCTGCCCATGCTCTGGTGGATGGTCCATAAGCATGCAGACAGCAAAAAATGCACTCAGGGGCTATTAAAAACAATAAAAATCTTCAAAAAGGCAGTAAAATTTATCCTACAAGTGTGAACAGGCGTATACTGGTCACATTCATGCACAGACACACACACACACACACACACACACACACACACACGACTAAGAGACATATACTCAAAGATGGGCTTGGTGATACATGCCTTTAGTCCCAGTGCTCAGGAAGCAGAGGCAGAGGCAGGCAGATCTCTATGAGATTAAGGCCAGCCTGATCTATATAACAAGTGCCAGGCCAGCTGGGACTACAGGAAGACCCTGTGTCAAAAACAACAACAACAACAAAAAAAAAAAATAGGCATATATTCAAAAGAAGTGGTTGAAAAAAATGTGCTATGGAGTTTGAAACAAATATCATCTGAGAGATGAGCTGTATGTGTTTCTTATTTCCTGAGCCCTTCAAGGAAAAACTGCAGGTTTTTAAGCACTGATTCCTACTCACTCCCATTACAACCCTGTTGGAAGGTACACTGTAAGACTAGAAAGGGCAGACACACACACAACCCTTGTTGTGCAGAAAGATCAAGAACTCCAAAAAGTAAGAAAATGATGAAAAAAAAAAACCCTGAACTGTGGGGGCTGAAAAGATGGCTAAGTGGTTAAGAGGCACTGACTGCTCTTGCAGAGGACCCAGGTTCAATTCCCAGCATCCACATGATGACTAACAACCATACATAACTCCACTTCCAGCAGAACCTTAGGCTCTTTTCTGACCTCACAGGTACACTTAAATACATGCAGGCAATACAGTCATACACACACACACACACACACACACACACACACACACACACATGCTTGTGTGCATATATATAATTTTTTTTCGGTCTTTTTGAGACAGGGTCTCCCTGTAGCTCCAGCTGTCTTGAAACTCTCTATGTAGACCAGCCTGGCCTTGAACTCACAGAGCTCTGCCTGCCTCTGCCTTCTAAGTGTTGGGATTAAAGGCGTGTGCCACCACGCCCGGCTTATAAAAATATTTTTGAAAATAAAAGAATTTGGAGCTGGAGAGATGGCCCAGTGGTTAAGAACACTGACTGTTCTTGCAGAAGACCCAAGTTCAAATCCCAGCACCCACATGGCAGCTAACAACTGTCTGTAACTCCAGTTCCAGGGGATCCAACTGTCTCTTCTGACCTCTGCAGGCACTGCATGACATGGATGCACTTACCTGCATGCAGGCAATATGTATACACATACACATAAAATAAAAATAATAAAATATTTTTTAATTAAAAAAATAAAAAAACTTACAGACTCAAAGTTGTGTCCATGTGATACAATGAGAAGAGTAAGAATTATAAAAAAATTAAAATTAAAAATAAAATAAAATTTAAAAACATCTATTCCAAAAAGGAGAAAAGAGAAGAGCTTCTGAAACTCACCAAAGTGGTAACAGAACAGCTGAAAGTATAGAGAAAAAGATGGACGACACACCAAAAAGAAGTCAAGCCAGACACAGTTCCAGACCATGACTCTCCTGGTGAGGAAGAAGTAGGGGCATCATTCAAAACATAATCCGGGTAGCTCTGGTGAGAAGAGACTGACAGCCCTAAGCTCAGGGACAGCTCCACAGTCCTCACAAGCCTTGAATCCAACTGCAGGTTTTGATGAGACAGTGATTCTTCCAGCAAATGAGCCAGTAGTGGGAATGAATCCCATTCTGTCAATCTATCTGACTTGGAGGACAAAGGCTCAGCACCATCTTAAGAGGGAACCTTTAAAACTGAGCTAACCTGGAAGCCTCCTGAGAACAGGGATCAATCACAAATCAAGAAGCCTGAATTTAACCAACCATAACCTCGTGTGAGACAGCCCTAGGAGACAGTTGTGGAGAACAGAAGTGCTTGACAACAATAAGCCCAAAAGTATACAAAGCAAGGAGCTCAGCTCAGGCACTGAAGTGCACAGGCTCATCAACTGAGAAGGAGTCTAGAGTTAGACAGTTCAGAGCCTGGGGTAAACAGCTAGGTCAACCTCTGGAGCCAGCTATTTGCTGTTCACTGCTATAGCCTGAGAACACCAAAGGTTCAGCACTCTCCTTGGCATCCACAGATGCATCTCTCCAGCAGGGCAAGAAATACATGTGCATTCTCTCATTCCCAACATTCCTGGGACATACCTGCCAGCTAGAACAACAGCTACCCCAGGGGATATGACTGGGGAAGTCTCACAAAAGATTGTTGAACCTGCTCAGGAGGCAGGAGGACTGCTGAGTGGTTAAAGAGCAGTGATAAAAGAATTTTAACGGGCTGGAGATATGGCTCAGCAGTTAAGGGCATTGGTGCTCTTGCAGAGGACCTCAGTTCAGTTCACAGCACCCACATGGCAGCTAACAACCATCAGTAACTCCAATGCCAAGGGATCCAATGCCCTCTTCTGGCCTCCATGGGCAATGCATGCATGTGGTACATAAACATACATGCAGGCAAAACACTCATACACATAAAATAAAAATAAATTAAAAGCTGGGCATGGTGGCGCATGCCTTTAATCCCAGCACTTGGGAGGCAGAGGCAGACAGATCTCTGTGAGTTCAAGACCAGCCTGGTCTACATAGCAAGTTCCAGACCAGCTGAAGCTACAGGGAGACCCTGTTTCAAAAAGACCAAAAAAAGAAAGAAAGAAAGAAAGAAAGAAAGAAATTTGGTTTGGACTCTGCGTTTAGTCACTATTTCAATTATGTTTAGAATTGTTTAAAGAATTTTAATCCCTAATTTATGAAGTGCATATATTTAAAAATCACTCCAAGTTATATAAATTCTGGGCAAGACATATATGCTAGATTGGACAATGGGAAATTTTCACTTTTGTAGTTATATATCTCTACATTTAGATTTTCAAAAATATGTATGTATTACTTTTACATATTTTATTATTTTTATTTTATGTGTATGACTAAATTGCCTGCATATGTGTAAGTGCAACCATGTTGTGCAATGCTCGTAGAGGTAAGAAGAGGGTGCTGGATCTCCTGGAACTGGAGTTATAGACAATTGTTAGCTACCATATGGGGGCTAGAATCGGATTCAGAGCCTCTGGAAGAGTAACCAATACTCTTAACTGCTGAGCCATCTCTCCAGCTCCATATATTACTTTAATAAGGAACAAAAAATACAAAAGAAACTCTGTTTGGGGAAAGGCTTCTTGTAATGTGAATAATACCTCCTGTTATTCTTTTTAAAGATCTATGGTTCTTTCCTAAAATGTATCATGATTTTTAAAATAGAACACACAATTCTTTTCCTTCCATTTCTATATGTTCTACATGCAAGTTAGCTTTCAAACATAAATATTAACTATTGTTTTTACATACCTGGTGGAGGGATCATCATCCTACGGTCCTGTTCCCATGGAGGTGACAGGGACCCAGTGTCGGAAGGTGCTCTATGGAGATCAGATAACCTATCATAGCTTGATTCTCCTCTTTCGTTGCTAATCTGATGGTCCACAGGATTCTCTGGGCCTCTTGAGCCTAATTATGGAAAACATAAATCTATTTTATCTCAAAAAATGTCACAAAAGACCTGTAACAAATAAAAATCTAGATGTTTTGGAAAAAGCAAATACAGACTCAAACAAAACTTCCCTAAGATGTGGTTTAGTCTATAAATATACCAAAGCTATCTCTAACAAATAGGAAAAATAATTTTGTAATATGAGCCTAGGGGCTGGGGATGTAGCTCAGTGACACTGTATTTGCCTAGTTAACACATGGCCCTGGGCTCAATCTGTAATACTGAGAAAAAAGTTCAACAAACACTTGCCTATGAAATTCATCTTTAAGTATTATCACCACCACTGTTCTAAATATACAATCAGTGGTTACATCATAAATACTAAGTCTGAAAGATAAGGTGTAGAAAGTAAATCATAAAGGTTTCTATATTAAGCATAATTATAAGATGATTGCAAGTCAAGGTTTGTGTTACTTAAATAGTTCAGTCAATATGAGCATGATTTTTTTCAGTTATCTTAGAGGCTGCACACCTATTTCAGTAACTTTGCTACTAATCAGATAGTTTTAAGACAATTCCTTCGGAACTGTACCATACTCAGATTAACTTAAAAGGCCAAAAACTTGTATCACAATTTGTAATTTGAATCTTTATTTATACCCCCAAATGACTACATATTCTATTAAATTCCCCAAATCATTCCTTATAGCTTGTTTATCTTCCCAATCAGATCGTAAGAAGGCTAGAAAGAGAAAACACCAAAGAATCAATGTGGCTGAGCTTATCTGGAGCAAAAGTAAAGAGGCTTTAAGGTAAAGCCATTCAAAGAGTTTCTCCTGATTGCTTACTAACAGGGGACCCAAAGCCAACTGACTACCCAGAGGACATTACAAATCTAAAAATACTAAAAACTAAATTTTTATAAGAATATATATACACAGTTCACTCTCTAAAAAGAAACTGTTTTCCTTATACACAATCATTCAAATTTTAAAAGATCATAAGAGACGGAAAATGAAAGCCACTCTTTGCTCTTTTTTCAATGGTCACAGATAAGAGTCCCTTCAAATGGAGTTTCTAAGATCTGTTGATAACTTACCGAGAACTTCCGTAGCTTTAAAACAGAGAAAATACCCTTGCAGATAATCTAAGTACATGTCTTTTAAATAGAGGAAAGTACCTTACACAGGAGAGGAGATAGGAAAGGTAATTTTTACTTTTATTTCAAAAGACATTTGATTACAAGAAATCTTTTACTTGTGCAAATTTAACTTCCAATGATTCACATTTGCAGTTTAGCCAATTAAATCCCATTTCTAGGATACTAGTCCTCAGACTGATAGCTGCTATACATTTGTGATGAACAAAATTAGTTTTAATGAGTATTCTAATGAAATGGGATAAAAATGTATAGAAAACATCAGAAATACCCAACATGCAATGCAAAGTACTTTATATATCTAGTTTCATTATGTTTATGTTGGTTTGTAATGACATGACATAAATTCCTTTTTTTTTTTTTTTTTTTTTTTTTTTTGAGCCAGGCTCCCCCAGTAGCCCCAGCTGTCCTGAAACTCACTATGTAGACCAGGCTGGCCTCAAAGTCACAAAGATCCACCTGCCTCTGCCTCCCAAGTGCTGGGATTAAAGGCATGCGCCACCACGCCCAGCATAAATTTCTTACTGTAAGTCAAAGTAAAAAAAAAAAAGTGGTGGCAAAGGGCCTAACACTAAGCCCTAAGCCTACAGCAGACATGAATTTCAAAAACCAGCCCCTTTCTGGAGTGTTCAAGACAAAGCTCCCCTAGGGCTCCACATCTCCTTCCCTAGAGGCTTTCAGTTCAAAGCCAACAGAAGCAACGGCTCTCCCAGAGGTGAAACAGAGCTGGGGGCCCAAGTTTAGGGGCAGAGGAACAGGTCCAAGTGGAGCAATGTGAGGACAAAGGAGATACAAATAGTAACTGGGCAAAGGGAGAGTATTTCATGACCAAAAAGCAGGAAACTATATTCTCATAGTCTTCAAAGGCAACTCCAAAGAAAAGGAGTTCCAAGAATATTCAGAATAACGGCAGGAGTAATAGAGAAGTGCAGAAGGCCTGAGAGATTGTTTAGATGATTAGATCAGCATGGTGCATTCTGGGGTTATGTTCGATTAGTTTGATACTTTATAAAGTTGCATTATGTGTCTTTCTCACATTTGTTAAGTCACTACATAAAAGGATAGGGACATTACTCTACTGAAGAATGCCAACAGTTTACTGTGTGTGAAGTAGCTATGGAAACACACACATACACACAAGGTAAGGGGGTATGGGGTAACAAGACAAACAATTCCTGGTTAGTCACTCAAAGTGTAAGAATTAGGTCTCGTGTGCTTTCTTCACATTCTGATTTTCTATAATAGATAATAGTAATAAAAAAAAAGATTTTAAAAATTCTATCTAACCATGTTTCATCAAAATACATTTAACGCTAATATATTTTACATAAATGCTATACTTTATATAGCATAATACATGCTTCATAGAGCAAAAAAATACAGTTTTAAAAGGTATTCAACCTCTTGATCAACATGCTATGCAGTGCAGGTTGAGTATTCCCTACTGAAAATGCATGGCAACAAACGTGTTTCAGATTTTGGAAGGTTTCTGCTTTTGTTTTTGATTTGTGAATTACAGACTTCGGTGGTCGAGTATCACAAACCCCAAATCTGATATCTGAAATGCTTCAAACTCCAAAACTTTCTGAGTGCTACACAAGAGAGTTCTGGATTTCAGAGCATTCTAGCTTTCAGATTTCCTGACTTGAGATGGTCTAGCTGTACTACACTGTATGTAAAAGAAAACGATATTAAAATAACATGCTACAGAGGGTTTTTTTTTCTTTTAAGACAGGGTCTCATTACGTTGCTCTACCTACTCTGGACCTCGCTGTCTAGACCAGGTTAGCCTCAAATTTACAGTGATCGATTTGCCTCTGCCTCCCAAGTGCTAGGATTAAAGGCATGGACTACCACACCTGGCCCAAGATTCTTTTCCTAACAAAAAGTAATCTATAGTAAGTGCAAGGAATGCTGTGTGCTTTCCAAATGTCTGTTTTATAGATCATTTGAAAGGTAAATTGAGATGAAAATATAAAGTAAGGAAGAAATCTTAGAGTAATAACAATGTTTAAACAATATACCTCTTCCTCCTCCCCCTGGAAGCAAAGGTGAGAGTCTGAGTGGACCCTCCAACAGAGCTGGAGGGGACAGAAAAGCTCTCGTTTCAGATGAAGGTCGACCCAATGGTGAGGGACCATATGGGGAATGCTCTGGAATAATTAAAACAGCATATTTAAATCCATAGTTTCAGGTAGCTGTACTGTACAATCAGAATTCTGTTATAACAACTGCCATCAGGCCACCCTTCTGCCAACTTAAGACTAATCTGTGCCCTGAACACAAACTACACTTTTCATTAGACAGCACAAGATTAAACATGGAGCCCAGTGTTTTTAAATCTTGTCAATCAACTGGACATTTCATCAATTAAAAACATTAGTTTCTTGGTAAGTAATATGCTTGAATAACCACAGAGGTTAGGCAAAGATACTGGTGGTATCTTGGAGTTCCAAGAGTATTTGGGCAGTATGACGTGGGTTTGGCTTTTGTTACTGTCTGTTGCTCAGACAGGGCGGATGAAAACTAGGCTGGCCTTGATCACACAGAGATCTACCTGTCTGCCTCCCGAGGGCTAGGATTAAAGGCACATATCACTGTTCCCAGTTGGGTTTTTTGTTTTTGTTTTTTGTTGGAAGTTATGCTTCTAGATATTTCAACGGGTGAACTTTACATGGACATGCTAGACTAAAGTCAGGTCAGATAGACCATGTTCAGTCACGGAATGTTTTAGTAAAGTTCAAATTTTGAAAAGTAGATAAATGCATAAAATATTGTAAAGAATTAGAAATCACTTTTGAATCCTTACCAGTAAAACAAAAATCAGGTCCTATGTTATAATGCATCAAATAAATTTCTTTGTGATCCATATAACCAAAACCATCTTACAAACTTAAATACTCCCAAATAATGGTTATGCTTCCAAAGGTAAAAAATCAGCAACAACAAAAAACAAACACCAAAATAACACTTTAAATATGACACATCTTATAAAGAAAGCGTATCTGTTACATACGCAAGTTAAAACAAAATATCAAAGTATGATTTGTCTTATGAGACTTCTGCACTGGGTTTAAACAAAAATTCCTTACATACTTCTGTCCATGCCAAACTTTGTTACTATTTGAAACTTCTAAATAATCTGATATTTTAAAAAATATATTATTATTTTTTTACTTTATGTGTATAAGTGTATTGCCCACATGTAGGTAAGTGCACCCGTGTCTGTGTCTTGCAATGCCTTCTGATCTTTGGAGGTCAGAAGAGGTCACTGGATTCCCCAGGACCTGGAGTTACAGACAGTTGCTAGCTGTCATGTGGGTGGTGAGAATCAAACCCGGATCCTCACAAGAACAGCCAGTGCTCTTAACCACTGTGCTGTCTCTCTAACCTCTGATATTTATTAAATGTAGAAATATTTTCATTTTAATGAAAGTTGATTCTCAATAGTGATCAACTTCCAGAGGTTACTAAAATTAGATTTTACCTATAAGAATTTATTTTCACTACTACAGGAGCATAATTCCATTTTAACCAAAATTACTCTGAAATTTTTAACTATTTGGAATGGTTTGAGATCATTAAACATATAACTCAATAATGAATGGGCAAAAATATTACATACACTTTTACAAAGTGCTAATCCTCCCTTGGGTATAATTAAAGCAATCAAAACTTAGATTTCTTACCTCTAAATTGATACTTTAAATTTTGGGGGGGAGGAGGTCTTTTTGAAGCAGGGTCTCTCTGTAGCCCCAGCTGTCCTGGAACTTACTATGTAGAGCAGGCTGGCCTTGAACTCACAGAGATCCGCCTGCCTCTGCCTCCTGAGTGCTGGGAATAAAGGCATCCCACACCCAGCTGATACTTTAAATTTTTTTTTAATGACTGTTAATTCTCATTTTTATACTGCAAGCAAATTCCAAAGTATAGAGCTAGTATGTAAACCCAATGCTACTCCATTGAAGTATGTTTCGTTCTTTCTCCTAAAACTAGCTAATAGTACCTTTTTTAAAGAGCATTGGGCTCTTCGGGTACTAAATACATTTCATCTTATGACACTTCACCAAGAAAGGGAAATACCAATAATTTTCATTACCGATAAGAAAACAGAACCCAGAAACTTAAGCATTTCAAACTGAATCCTAGGTCCAAAATTAAAATACTGTTAAATGACAATGTTAATTTACACACTTTTGTGTAATAATAGTATACAGTAATAGAGTAATATGGTAATAGTGTAATATAGTTCATATTAACTATATGCTCAATATATACGGGATACATAATATGTATTTTAAATAAGAGGTTAAAAAAAAAAAAAAGACTACCTCTGCCAAATGCTGTATTTGGAACATCAAGTGCATAAGGATCTTTTTCTAAAAGTTCAAGTTTAAACTCTGTTTCTGTTAATCTGCAAATAAAGAACAAACATCTCTAAGTTACTGGTCCAGGAGAAATATTCCAAGCAAATGCCATTCCCCAAAGTTCCACTCACAACCTCAGTATCTGCATGAAAGAAAAGGTCTCAAATTATCCTGACCACATGCCTTTCTATACTTCCTATTACTTATTTGGGCAACTAGCATCTGGCTAGGGTACTGACATTTTGCTGATGTTTAGAGTTGTTTAGTTTCTTCTTCAAACTAGACTACAATGAATACTATATAACAGAACTCAAATTTTTGAAGTGGAAGAGCCCTCTAAGATGAAGTAATGCTAATCTATCCTTCTATAACTATGGAACCTAAACCAGGAGCGTAAGTGACTTGTTCTAAACGAAAATGCCAAGATTGAGTTACATACACTTTCTATTGTAAAATGACTCGGTTAGAACATAAAGTTGGAAATCCTATAAACTTATACTACTATTTCATTCCTAAACTTTTTATCTTTAAAAATGTCACATTATGAACAAATGCTACTTCTATTTCCCATCATCCAAACTGAAATAAAACAATCTTCTAACTTTAATTTCTGAGAGGAGAAAGGACAAGCAAAAAGGATGAAACCCTCTGTTAATAATGCTGACAGACAGGCTGGCCCAGTCACAATGCTCTAGAAGACGCTGCCATCCTCACAGTACAGCGCTACTCCACCCTTTCACTGTACACTTTGACTCTTCCTTTTATTTTATTACTGTACAATAATGCCACCCAATACAACAAACCAGGGGTGAGATAACCATAAAACACTGATAGTCTAACATTCCTATGTCAGAGAGATTCACTTTTCCTTTCTCCTCTTCTTTTGACTTCCCTTTACCCACAACTCTTTAATTTTTGTTACTGTTGTCTTTTTGAGACAGGGTTTCCCTCTAGCCCCACCTGGTCTAGAACTCACTATGTAGGCCAGGCTGACCAAGAACTCACAGAGATTCACCTACCTCTGCTTCCTGAGTGCTGGAATTAAAGGTGTGAGCCACAACATCGAGCCTAAATCTTTTTTTAAGTTACATTTTTTTTAATAGAAGAATCTATGAACAAGCTAGCTTCCCTAAAGTGTCATTTCTGTGGCCTAAGAAAAGTATTTCAAACAAAAACAAATTAAAATTTCACACCTAGTGAAACTATCTAGAAATTTCATGACAGGTTATGCTGCATTCACTCCAAATTTTTTATTTATTCTTACATAAGAATTATGTAAGTAACTAATTTTAAGCTTTCCCATGAAGTGTTTCCGTGAAGAGTCTTACTTTTGTCTGTTGTGAGCATTTTCTTTCCTTAAATCATTGAGGTTTCTTTCAAAAGTCCGAGCTGCCAACTTAAAAGAAAATAATACGTTTTAAGTATATATTTATATAAATCTAAATGAAAGAGCAGCATAAATGTCACATTTATGGCATACAAATATCACAATCAGGAATAGATACAAGTCCACATCTATTTCAGTAAATTCAATGAAAAACATTTTAAATTTAGGGACTTATTCAAAAAGGGAGTGTTTTATGCCAGCAGAAAACATGAGCCTGAGGCTGGAGTGTAATCCTAACTTGCTAAGGAATGTTGCTATTTAGATACAAAATGAGGGCCTCAAATTATTTGTGAAGTAAATATCTAACAGCTTCCTAAGAGCTATGTGGAGTAAACCCAGGCAGCACGGCCATCATCCCGGGGAAGAAATCATCCTAACTCTAGGAATCTACAAAGTTCTAAAACAGTTTCACGGACTGCCAACACAGTCTCTGAAGTATATAATAATGTACAAACAATATTTAAGTATTTTACATTTGTATCTGTGTATGTGTAAGTATCTCTCACAATACAGCCCAAGCTAGCCTCAAACCATGATTCTCCTGGCTTTGCCTCTTGAATGCTAGTAGGTGTGCTTGCTATACCCAGCTTAGGCTTATAATAATAGCAAGAACATGCAATATTCCCAAATAATTATTAGCAAAATCTAAACACATGAGTTTAATATTTTTCCTAGTCATTCTGTGGATGCTACAGATTAAATGCAGCAATGTATGAAACATGTGATGGACCAAATACAGAAGGGAAGCTTGTACAGAGGCACACAAGGCTAACTTGCAAATTCCTTAAAATAACTCTTTACAAGTAAAAGGAACTATACTTTCAAATTTGCTTTCACTTAAAACTGTGTGAAATACACATTAGAACTGACTTTAATCAAAGAATTTTTTTTTTTTCTGTCTTTTTGAGATGGGGTCTCCCTGCAGCCCCATCTGGCCTGGAACTCACTATGGAGACCAGGCTGGCCTCGAACTCACAGAGATCCTCCTGCCTCTGCCTCCCGAATGCTGGGACTAACTTAAATATGTTTTAGCACTTGCCAGGTGTGATAGCACACTCCTTTAATGCCTGCACTTGGGAGACAAATGCAGGCAGATCTCTGTGAGTTTGATGCCAGCCTGGTCTTCATAGTGAGTTCCAGGCCAGATGGGCTACAAGGAGACCCTGTCTTAAAAACACCAAAAAAAAAAGAGAGAAAAAAAAAAAAAGAAAATCGTCTGTATACATCTATATCCATGGGTATGGCAGGGTTGTCATGCCTCAATTTCAAGGGGAAGCTATAGCTCCGCCCCCTCACCAACAGGGCCTCACAGACCTCACAAGCCCCTGAGAAAAGGGAACTGAGTTGATAAGCACCCTGGTCTTTGAAGTCAAGAGAAGCAGACTTTTCTCCACTGTTTTGCCAACACAGCAGGCTTCCCCTTTGATCTCTAAAGAGGATAGGTTTTAAAAATCCTGCTCTCCCACTACCCTCCCCCCTCAACTTTAAAAAAAATATATCTTCCCGCCTTCTGCACCCCTCCCCCAAGAAGCCTCTCCTTTTAAAAGACCCCAGCTCACGACCCGGGCAGACATTTTCCCTGCCAGGAAGGGAATCTGTGTTGCTTTGCTAATAAACTCTATTTCCAATGGAGTTTATCCGTGTCCTGGTGCTTTCTCCTGATCAACTGGATTCATCCATACACTACTTTATCTATCAGATGGTGCAAAAACCCTGTTCTTACTTCAAGAGACCAGCCTGGACTTCTCCACCACCACTAACTTGGCTTTCAGGTACACTCCCACCCTTCCTTTCTCTCTCCTCTCCCCAGCCCTCTGCTTTGCTTTCACCTCTTTCTGGCTCTCCTCACTGGGGAACACACTCTGGCTTGCCTGCGTCTCCTTTTGATCTCCTTTTCCATGGATTTCCATCACTCCCAGACAGCACTGGTCTCCGGGATGGAGTTGCTTCATCCCTTTGCTACCTCGGCTAACCCCGCCCCCCCACCGTCATCTCGCCCCTTCCCGCATGGGCCTGCAAGGTCTGCTGTCTTCCATCCTTTTTCCTGTCTTTGTCCTCTTCCACTGCCTTTCTTCCTCACATTACTCGGGATGATTTCTGATACTGTTCAATCCAACACATGCAAATGCTCTGTATCCTTCTCCTCTCTCCCCCTCCAAGTGCCTGCCAGGCCGCCATGTGTCTGACCTCCCATGCAGGCTTTAAACCTGCATGACCCCAAGGCTTTTTTTCCTTCCCGCTATTCACCCCCTCTGGGCAGCTGCCAAGATTGCCAGCTTGCCTGCCCTGGGAATTTTTTCTTTAACATTCTAATAAAATGATAAAATTTTCCAACTGGGCCCATTCTTAAATTCTCTTACAAATGTGGCTAAGAACCCTTTAGGGGACCCTTTCTCCCCATTTTGGCCCAACTAGGCAAAACTGGCTGGGCAACTTTGTTGGAGCATTTAAAGAACTTCAGGAGGCTTGCCCCATTGACAAAGGAAAAACATTTTAAAAGCCTTTTTTTCTCCTAAACTTTTTCTCAGGCAAAGGGGCTCGAAATTTTGATCTTAGGCCCTCTTGGGCATCAAGCAACTGGTGCTCAGGTGCCTACTTTTCTAACTAGACCTAACCATTTTAAATTTCACTATACATAAAAGTCACAGGCACTGCTCAGGTGAGTCACATGTTTTCAGACCAACAACCACTGATTTATATGTCCTGTTCCTTCTGCTGCACTCCATTCAAACAATGCACTTCTAGTTCAAACTAAGGTAATAATGCCAAATCTACACAATGGGAGTTTAAATTTTAACATCGTTTAGGGCCTGTTTCTAAAGGGGATTACTTTGAGTTTTAACTTCTTCTATGGTATATCTACTGTTTTTTTAAAGATGACTGTTTTAAGTTTTGACATTGTTTAACATATTTACAGATTTTTTAAAAGGAATTGTTAGGTTTTGACATTGTTTGCATGACATCTTTATCTGGTAATTTTAAAGGAATTATTTTGGATTTTGACATCTTTTATATGATATATTTACTCATTTCTAAAAGTGACTATTTTGAATTCTCAATGTTTTGCATACTATATTTGTTAATTTATAAAAGGAACTTAAAGTTTTTCTAGCCATATGCCTTCAAGGAACAAAGGGAGCTGACACTTTGTGATGGCTCGACCTGGGAAGCTCATGGGAATTTGCTGTACTCCAGGGCAATACCTTACAATAGACAAGCTGCTACCAGCACATAGTTAGAACAATGGGAGGTAAAAAGGGATAGCCTACTTGGGTGGGAGGCTTAAGATGCCAGCTCCACTGGTCTTAATCCCTCCCTTTTCTACATTGTGATTCTAAGCCTGTTTTTCTCTGGAATAGAGTTATTTCCCTCTCTGCTCAGTTATATGCTTGCTTTGTTCCTGTCCCAACATTCCCTGGGTACTTTCTAATTACGACTGTGATTCTAAACCTGTTTTTCTCTGAAATAGAGTTATTTCTCTCTCTGATACTCAGATGCTTGCTTATGTTCCTGCCCCATCATTCCCTGAGTGCTTTCTAGTTATAATGTCAAAGTAATATTAATTATATTGGTAAATTGTCATGTGCTGTTTGAGCTCACTGAGACGCTGACTCTGGAGATGGGATTGGCCCTCCCACTTCAGACTCAAGTTTATTATCTCAAGATGTGTTCTCCAAGACTTTTCCAGGTTCAGCCTGGCCCCCTGACCCTGTGACAAGGAGAAGGAGAACAACAAAACAGACTAAGAGTAAATGCACTGTGCAGTTGAGAACAGCTAAGGTATAAATTAATTTCAACAGAGGGTATTAGTGTCTATAATGAAACTAGCTAATGGAATTATTTTCAGTACTATTTACATTTTATTTATTCTTAACCTAACCTGTTGATGTTTCCTTTTGTCTTTCCTGTCTCCTACCAGGTTTTATTAACTTACTTCAATTATTTAGCTCTTAAAAAGGAATAAGATGCTACCTCAAATCTATATGGAAACTTAACTCTTTCTTTAGACCACTAATTACCTATACAAAATGACATCTAAACTGGTTGGGTAAAATCCTATTTGTTAAATACCATTTTTGTTTTTAGTTTACTTCCATGGTGTTTTAAGATGTATTCATTTTGCTTGTCTACTTCAAAGGTGTTTTGGTTTAAAAATGATAAACAAACCACATTCTCAACAAAGGCTATATAACTAAATATGTATATACAGTCAACATAAACTTATGCTTCTTAAAATTAATTTACTTGGTATCATACTCATTTTTTAACTAAAATCTCATATAAACTAAAAATGTTAAATTAACACCAAAATAATTTTTTTCAGCCAAAATATTCTCTCTTTAATCTACAACATGGTTCCTGGTACTAAAATATATAAGTTAATATTAAGTACCTCTCTCCCTATCTCTCTATCTCCCTATCTCTCTCTCTGTCTCTCTCTCTCTGTCTCTCTCTCTCTGTCTCTCTCTCTCTGTCTCTCTCTCTCTCTCTCTCTCTCTGGGATCAACTTGTTCCACAAGCTTCCCTCCCTTCTGGTTCACTGCTTTTTTTCCACTTTTCTCCCATCCCATTCCTTGTACTTTGTCTCCATCTACTGGCTGGTCATGTCACGCTCTCATTGCAGGGTTTTCCGCTCTTTTCGCTTGCCTCGAAATCACACGTGTGTCAGAAACCCCTCTCCTTTCTCTGGATATAGGACGCTATTTCCAGAGATAGGAACACGCACTACTTCCTGTCCAGGACAGGATCTCACCTTTCCTCTCCCTGGTGATCTAATTGTGGGACGCCACCTTCTGGGACTTGGAAATAACTCGAAAATAGTAACTCGAACCCACACAAACAAAAAAAGGGCTCTTTCTTTTGGTGCCTGGTTCTCCTCGCTCTCGTTTTGCGTGACCAATGCCAAGCCTCTTTTCCTCCTACTCCCACCCCGTCTCTCTCTCTGTTCCTCGTCTGCTGTGCCTTCCTGCCTGGACTCGTGATCTTGCCTCCACTTCCTATGGAGGGAG